AGCTCTCCTGGGGGGCGGGGTGTCGGTGCGAGGCTTCTGCAGCCTGGGATTTGGGGGGCCCCGCCCCCCCGTGGCTTAAGCCAGAGAGCTACTCCCTCCTCAAGCGCTTATGGTCCATGCCAGAGACAGACCCAGGGCGGCCAGGACAACTGGGAGCCCTTATGCAGTTTCGGGCCTTGTATCTACTTCCCAGCTAAGAGATCTTCTCTTCTTGGTAGAATGAGTACATGAAGGATGACTTTTTGATCAAAATTGAAACCTGGCACAAAGCAGATGCGGGCATGCAGGAGAATGTAAGTGCACTGGGCAGGGACGCTGAGGTCTGTCTTTTATTGCTGCTGCACTGGGGATCCTCCTGGCAGGAACTGGAGGTGGAGTGGAGGGACAGGCTGTCCACAGCCAGCTCAGGGTGCCATATTCCCCCCACTGCCCAGTTTCTCAAGAGGATGCCCAGACCACTGGCCTGCTGGGCTTTCTGTACCATCTAGTCAAGTCCAGCCCAGTCCCTCCCCGGCCTGCTCTTGCTCTTTCTTTGGCTTGGGGGAAGGGAAGAGGCCAGACTACCCCCAGCTTCCCTCTTTTTAAACTGTGTGCTGACTTCATCAGTTTCAATAGCAGTTCTTGCCCGTTTTTAGCATTTCTTGTAGTATTCTTTTGCAAGCCCCCCCAAAAGAAATCCATTTTGAGGGATGTCCTAAAAGAGCATCTGGATGTAAACTGAAATCTGTCCCTCTTTGTTCCTGCAGGTCCATAAACTGGATCCCGAGGAGTGGAAGAACGTTGAGGCTGTTTATATAGATATCGCAGACCGGAGCCATGTGCTTTCCAGGGTAGGGCATTGGAGGGCCGGGCCGAACAGCGGGGCCTCCCTGGCCCTTTGCCGGGGGTGTGTGGAGAAAGCCGGGGACTGGGCATGGCCACTGGGTAGCTGCCTGGCTGGAGTCTCTGGACATGCCCCTGAGCTGCTTCTCAGAGCTTTGCTGGGACGTCAAGACTGGAGTTGGGGATTGCATCGTTGCTGGCTTAAAATCTGGAGGGTGCCTTCTGGGGGATATGGGGAGCTGGAAGGCATCTGTAACCGATTCATGTTGCTTTGATGGCATGGAACAGCTTTGGGGCAGGACCTACAGCCCCCCTAGGCTGGAGGGCAACGAACCCATGGATAAGGAGCAGAGGAAGGAAGAGAAAGCTCGCAGGCCCACCCAGGCGAGCGCTCAACCCTCTCAGGCTGTAGCAAGTGCTGGGAGGGATGGTGTGGAGTGATCCTCCTTAGATGTTCGGGCTGCCACTCCTCAGAGCCTGGAAGAAGAAAAGAGCTCCTGTGAGATGGAGGGTGGCTTCCCTTTCTGTAACCTCCCCATTCCCCTCTTGTCCAACGCAGGATTACAAGCCAGAAGAAGACCCAGCAAAATTTAAATCAGTCAAGACAGGCCGCGGCCCTCTGGGGCCCAACTGGAAAGTAGGGACCTTTTCTTGCTTGCCTGGTGTGGCTTTGGTGCATCTCCAGGAGTGCGCCAGGAGCTGAACAGAACTAGAGCTGGAGGGGAGGAGGCCAAGGGAGAGATTTGCTGAGGGTATCCTGGCATCTGCCATTGAACTGAGACTGCCATCAGACTGGCTGGGTTTCCGCTCACCCAAGGCAGGCCGGGCAGCAGGACCAGTGGGCAGGATCGGTGGATGGGGAGGGGGAAGGGAGGGGCGGCACTGGCCGTGCTCCTGGGACTGCTGGCTGTGTTTGAAAGGATTGCCTCTTGTGTTTTCAGAAGGAGCTGGGCAAGCAGTCCGAATGCCCGTACATGTGTGCTTACAAGCTAGTAACGGTCAAATTCAAGTGGTGGGGTCTGCAGAACAAAATCGAGAACTTTATTCAGAAGGTGAGCAGGGTTCGTGGCAGGAGCCATCACCGTTCCCCAGCGGCCTGTGTACCCGGTTGTCTGGGAGAGTTCTTGAAATAGCTGCAGCAGCTTCTGGTCGTTCAGGAGAACCGAGCGATTTCTGGGGACAAGCGGTGTGCGCTCCGTTACTTGTTGTGCGTGGTTATGGATGGCCTTCAAACCAGACTTCTGAGCAACGTTTTTCCTTTCTTGCAGCAAGAGAGGCGGCTTTTTACAAATTTCCACCGGCAGCTGTTCTGCTGGCTTGATAGATGGGTTGATCTGACAATGGAGGACATTCGCAGGATGGAAGACGAGACGAAGAGGCAGCTGGACGAGGTTAGCGCCTCCGGGGACAGCCTGAGATGGGCAAGTGGGCTTGCCGGGGGCCTGGTTTCCTTTCTGTCTTGCTCGCCTTTCAGAAGGCCAGAGATGAATGGCCTGTCCTCTGTTGCAGATGAGAGAAAGAGACCCTTTGAAAGGCATGTCGGCTGCAGACGACTAGCGTGGATTCCTTGAACGCCCAGTACGTAACCAAGCGGTGCCCTGCGCTTGCACTCCCTTTGATGCCAGGAGCGAGGTGGTGCACCTGGGGGGAGAAAGGTGCTGTCGGTGTGGGCCCATCCTGTCTCCATGGAATCAGATTATGAAAAATGCTGCTGCAGTCACTCCTGACTAGGGCCTGCTGCTGGGGGGATGGGCCATAGGGCTGAGTGGAACTGAGTGGTTGAGGGCGCTGCTGCACTGGGCCTCCGCGCTTGCGGCTGCTGTCCTCGGGTCAGAACACAGGCGCTGCAGAGCCTTCTTCAAGCAGGTTTCGAGATGTCTGAAGACGAACCAACCGAAATGCTTTGTGGTGCCGCACAGCTGGCCTTTCAGGTCTCTGGTTCGGCCTGCCACGTCATTGGCATTCATCTCTCTCTTCTTCCAGCTTGCGAGAGAGTCTGCAGGAAGGCGCAGGAACTCCACCCTCTTGACCAACGGACCATCTCTGGATGATCAAGCCCTCCTTTCTCCAGTCAGCTGGCAACTTCCACCCCCCTTGCTAATTCTAGTTGCCCTTAATCTAGTGAGCAAATCCACAGTCTTTGGTCCTGAGCCCTCGGACCGTGGTGCTTGGGGAGGAGGCGGCCCTTCAGGACAGCTGCTTCTGTGACCACCCCCTTTCCCCTGGGAGTGTGCACACCAGTTCTCATGTGACTCTTTGATTTCCAAGTGGTAGGCTTTGTTGAAGTAGTCTTGTGATGTGGTGATTTAGAATTCCTCAGTACACGTCTCTATTTTCCCTCCTCTTAACCCCGGGCTGACTGCTGCCTTGTTGCTTTCCCATCCCTTTGTGGAGACAGGAGTTCGGTGCTGAGTGCAACAAATGCTGGTATCTGGATTCCAGAATAGCCTGTTTTCTCCGTAAAGAATCTAGTCTTGGGTGCGTCTCTGGTCCCCTTGGAGCAGAAGCGGCTGCTAACACACAGTTCCCCAAATCATCCTGTGGTCCCTACTCCATTCCCCACACCTTTCCGGGACCCCGAGCTCCCTGGCCTGCTGCTGCTGTGGGGCTGTGTGCCCTGGAGCCCAGGAACCAAGGGGCTTTGTAACATAGCAGTGGAAGCCCCCTCTCTGCTCTGAGAGTGGCTGGTCTCACTCACCTGGCCACCCAAACCGTGGTCAGCTCCTTTTTTCCATCGTGCAAGGGACTGCCTGAATCGGGGCTCATGCTGCTGCGAAGGGGCTTTTGTCACAGGGCTTCTGGAGGAATGCCCGTCCATCAGGGAGATCCCACAGCCCAGAGCCCAGCCCGGGGGTTGGTCTCCACTTCAGACAATCACATGAGCAAGGTGGAATGAACCCCCGCTGCTGTTAAGGGCAAAGGCGGGCCAACCGCAGTGGGGCTCCCCGCTTCCCTTTCCAAAGCTGACATGATAGGCAGCTTCCGTGGCAAAAGGGGAGGCTAGGGCAGGACAGAGGTTTGCAGCTTTGCTTTAGGAAGGATGGGTGGCTGTCCTGCTGTCCCCCAGTTCCCTACCGGCCAATTTGTTTCTTGCCTTAAGGAGGCCAGTGCAATAAGCAAACGTGTGGTGGAAAAAGGGCTCCTTCTGGCAGGGCCGGTGGCTTCGAGGGCTTTTCGGGCAGTTGGGTGTTCCTGGGGACAGGAGGCAGAATTGAAATTGGGACAATCTCCCTGCCAGCAAGGCGAAGTCCTCTGGGATCCAGCTGTGTCCCACTGGTCCTTCCTCTCCTCTCCCCTTCCCTTCCCTCTGAGGCACGCAGGTGCTGAGTGACCCTCTCTCCTCCAAAACGCAGAGACCGGGGAGAACTACAGTACAGTACAGAGAATTGTGTGGATAAGAGGATATGCTCAAATGTGTTACTGTTCTCACCCCTGCTTAAAAGATTTGCGCTTTAACTGAGAGGCTTTCTGGTGGCTGGCAGCGCCTCTCTGGGAACAGATGGTGACATTTTGAGGATGGGGGAGAGAATTAAAAGGACTCTGGTAGAAGGCAAGGATTCTTATTAAAACACAGCTTTCCCGCTTAGCGGCAAGAGCAAGACAAGTGCAGAAAACTTCCCCTCTGCGTGTCCTGTTGTACACTTGTGCATTGGAGTTGATCCAGTGTACCCCCCCAGCTGCAGATGAGGCTTCTGCGGAGCCCCCTTTTCCCCGTTTGCAGTAATGACTGGCCCCTTTGTTTCCTGCTGATGAGAGTGAGCGGTGGTGCAGGCAGAGGAGCCGCTGTGCATTGTGTCTGGCTTCCTCCTCCAGAGTCCCCAGCGCTGGGGGCTTCCGAGAGGGGCTGTGAGCTGAAGTGCTGAGATGCAAACCGCGGGTCCCACTTGCTTGCGTTGTGAAGTCCGAAGCTCCAGTGGGTAAACACGCCCTCCCCATTTTAGCATGCTCTTGTTTTTCTTAGTTTCTCTTTTGCCGAACCTGCAAGGACTTCCTGACCAGTTCAGTTGGGTTCCTCGTGCTATTTGTTTTTATGGCATATGCTCTGTAGAATAGGTTAGATGATCTCATTGTTTCTTTACTGTGAGTTTGTGCCTTTTTCGGTCTCCCAATCTTCCAATACAGGCCTATTGGAAATAACTCTTAATAAAATCATAGACAGAGCACCCTGACTGAGCTTTTATTCTGAGCGATGCTTGGAAAATGGGAGTAACTGTGGAGTCCTCGGGGTTCTCTGAGCTTGGTTCTTTTCTTGCAAACGTTTCATTACCCGGCTAGGTAACATCTTCAGTGCATGATGGGAGTAATTCAGTGTGTTCCTTACCCCCTTCCCCACATCTCTTAGGTTGTATTAATTCCCATTAATCAGTGATGGTGGCAGCTGGGAAGTTGTCATACAGGTAGTCCTCACATAACGGACCTTAATTGGTATGGAAGTCACACGACCATGACTGTGCCTGTGGCTGGAAAGAGACGGTTTCACACCTTCTGTCTGTCTCCTAACCGCTCCCCTGCCCTGTGGAATGCAAGGGCCTGCTTACCTACCGCCTTGTACACGTGGGAAGCACCGTGATCTCCTTCTCCCTCACAGGCTGGGAGCCAAGGGTGCGCTGCGCAAACAGCTTACTCTCTTGAAATCCCTCCCTCTCCAATCTGTCCGCTCTGCAAGGGGGAGGGAGGAAGAAAGCAAGCGACTCCTGCAGGCAAACTCCTTTGCCTGACCCTCCCGGAGAGATGGGAGAGGAGGGCATTTCAAGAGAGGAAGCTGCAGTGTGAAAGGGTCAGACGAAGGGGCGATTGCCTGCAGGAATCGCTTTCTCCCCCCCCTCCCACAGAGGAGAGGGGTCGGGGACAGCGGTTCGTGCGGCCTGCCCCGATCCCCGCCCGGCTGCTGGCTCAGTCG